TCATGTGTCTCCCTCTTAACTCTGGACCTAATAGGTTCCTCATTTGCATAGGACCCTGTGAGATTCTGGGAATTGTAGAATGTTCTAGGTGGACAAAGGAAGCCAGATTATAGTTAGGAAACATTTCTATATAAGCATTTTTGTTGTTCAAAAGATCTCAGAGAAAGGAAAGTGAATCTCTGAGGCTTCAGCATTTTATGGTGATTTCTTTTTGTGTTCCAAATAATTGTTTACGTTTGTACCTAATTTGCATTCACAATTTTGTATTCTTATTCTTAGAGAGGATCACTCAAATTATATATGCTTCAGGTCATGCAAAACCTGGATCCACCACTGGGTTTTACTAAATGAAATTCTTGAGCATTTTGTTAGTACTTACTACTTTATATTTAGTAAAACATAATTTATACAAGTAAATAAACACTAAGTAGAATCTAGAGAATCCTCAAAACATTCTACAATCAGTGCTTTGAGTGGTTCTTTTACAAGAGAACTGGAACTTTCTAACAGCCAGTATATTTCAATGTTAGTACAGTATTAGTGAATGCCATAAATCTGGAACTCAGATATTGACGCTTGTTTATTTCAATCCCAGTCAGCAAGACTTTATGGAAAGCCTACTATGTGTGATGAAGGTGGTGGGCCAGGTTCTTTTTTCAGAGTTTAAATTCAATTTAAGAGCAATTTGAAATGAATTGCCTTACCAGTGAGGTATTTCTTAGTTCCTGGGAGTCTTAATAGTAGTTCTCTTTTTTTATCTTTTTAATTTTTTTTATTTCAGGAAATTATGGGGGTGCAAACATTTCGGTTACATGGTATGACTTTGCCACATCCCCAAGCATGATTTGAGACATGCCCTCCCCCCAACCGACAACACTCACTGGGTCCATTAGTTGTGATTTACCCACCGCCAACCCCGCTACCCCCAAAGAATATTACTACTATCTGAGCCACCTTAGTATTGATCAGTCAGTGCCAGTTTGATGGCGAGTACATATGCCTATTCTTCCATTCTTGTGATACCTCACTTCAGAGTATGGCTTAAGCTCTATCCAAGAAAATATAAGAGGTGCTAGATCACCATCATTTTTTATAATTGAGTAGTAGTCCATTGTATACATATGCCATATTTTATTAATCCACTCATGGATTGACGGGCACTTGGGTTGTTTCCACATCCTTGCTATAGTGAATTGTGCTGCCATAAACATTTGACTGCAGATGTCTTTATTATAGACTGACTTTTGGTCCTTTGGGTAGTTGTCTAATAGTGGTATTGCTGGATCAAATACTAGTTCTACTTGTAGCTCTTTGAGGTATCTCCAAATTCTTTTCCACAGAGGTTGCACTAATTTGCAGTCCTACCAGCAATGTAAGAGTGTTCCTATCTCTCCACATCCACCCCTGTTTGTTGCTTTGGGATTTTTTTGATAAAGGCCAGTCTTACTGGAGTTAGGTGATATCTCATTGTGGTTTTGATTTGCATTTCCCTAATGATTAGAGATGTTGAAAATTTTTAAAAAATGTTTGTTGGCCATTATTCTGTCGTCTTTGGAAAAGTTTCTGTTCATGTCCTTCACCCATTTCTTAATGGTGCTGTTTGATTTTTTTTCTTGTTGATTTTTTTGAGTTCTAGGTAGATTCTTTTTTTTTTGAGACAGAGTCTCGCTTTGTTGCCCAGGCTAGAGGGTAGATTCTTGTTATCAGCCCTTTATTGGATGTGTAGAGAGCAGATATTTTCTCCTATTCTGTAGGTTGTCTGTTTGCTCTGATGATAGTTTCCTTGGCTGTACAAAAGCTTTTTAATTTGATCAGGTCCCATTTATTTTGGTGGAACCAGAGAAGACCTTGTATAGCCAAAGCAAAAAGAACAAACTGGGAGGTATCAGTCTACCAGACTTGAAGCTCTACTATAAGGCTGTAGTAACTGAAACAGCATGATATTGACACAGGAATAGAGACATGGACCTTTGGAACAGGACTGAGAATTCAGATGTGAAACCATCTGCATATTGTCATCTAATCTTTGACAAAGCAGACAAAAATATATACTGGGGAAAAGAATCCCTTTTCAATAAATGGTGCTGAGGAAACTGTATAGCTACATGCAGAAGCTTGAAGTTGGATCCCCACCTCTCATCTCTTACAAAAATCAATTCTAGATGGATAACAGACTTCAACCTAAGGCATGAAACCTTAAGAATCCTAGAAGAAAATGTAGGGAAGACTCTTTCAGATATTGGCCTAGGCAAAGAATTTATGAAGAAGACCCCCAAAGCAATCACATCAGCTATAAAAATAGTAGTTCTCCTTAAAGAGATAAGAAATTTGAAGGTAACATGATAAATATGATTAAATGCCAGGGAAAAACAATGATGAATTGTTGGCACCAGTCATTTGATGTTCTCTGAAAACAAAGAGACTTGTCAGTCTGCCAGTGCTAAGAAGTTTCAGTGCCAAGGATATAAAATGAAAAATGTCCTTTATCTTTTTGAGGGATAGTTTCATAGATGGTAGCCATGAGTAACCTTGGGGTAACTATTTTTCAAGCCAAAGAGCCCTGTATTGAAAATTAATCTATGTTCATCATTTCCTCATTCTCTTAAAGTATGTCATTATATGATACTGAATATATATGTTTGGGAAATAGCATAGCATAGGATTCCTAAGAGATAAATCAATATATAATGTCAGGTACTGAGGAATGTTTTGAAGAAAAACAATTTCAGGGAAGGAGAGAGAGAATGATGATTATTTTAGAAAGTCTGTAAATCCTAGCTATTCCTTGAATGCAGCAGATATATCCCCATCTTCGGGCCTTTGCACTTGCTATGGCTTCTGGCTACAATGCTTTCCTTCAGATCTGCAGTAGCTGTTTTCTCACTTCATTTAGGGCTCTGAAGTCCCACCAGCAATGTAAGAGTGTTCTTCTTACACTGTTCTACACCATCTGATATTGGGGACCATAGAGATTCATATAAATTCTTTGATAAAACCTTTGCTGGCTGAACTCTTAAATACTTGCTATCTGAAACTTAGGAATTGAAGAGATCTTTTTAAAACATCTCTTCTTATTTCACCTAGATGTCAAAATCAGAAACCAAATAATGTATAGTAAGGGACACTTGTAGTAGTTTTTTTCATAGCACTTACTGATTTCTGGTTTTTGTGTCTGTCTGTCTTTTTGCATGTTTCTCTCACTAAAATGTCAGTTCCATGGTGGCTGGAATTTCATTTTGTTCATTGCTCTATGTCCATCACCTGGAACAATGCCTGACATCTAATTGATTCTTAATAAAAAAGCGTTGAATAGATATGTTTAATATGTGAAAGAATTTGACCTAATGTCACCTAAATTTTTTATTTTGAAAGTATGATTAATATTGTATATTATTAAGTTTTAAACAGAATATGGAATTATATGCATAGTTTCTACTTAGGTTAAAAAAATAAACTTTTGCATTTGTTCATTTATTCATTCCTTGAAAGAAAACTTAGTAAGCATCTTCTGTGTGTTCATTCTGTACTAAGGTGTTCTAACTGAGCTTATAGTTTTATAGGAAGGCAGATCATGAAACAACAATAAATGAATGACACCCTTTTCCTCAGTCACTACTGTGTGGCCATGTTGATCTTCTTTCAGTTTCTCAAAGCTGATAGCTCTTCCCTTTGCACATTTTACTGTCTTCACTGTCTTCTTGTATTATGAAACTTGTAATTATATATTTATTTGGAAGATTATCTGCTTAAGATCTTTGAATCTCTATATGGTAAGTTCTGTAAGGGCAGGGGCCATGATACTATTTAATTGTCAGTACCTAGCTCAATGCCAAGTATATAGCAGGTACTCAATACACATTCTAAATGAGAAGTACATAATAGAAACACTGTATTTAATCTATTGGGAGTTAGAGGAGTTTTCCCTGATGAAGTGAATTTTAAGCTGGGATCTGAAGAATGAGGAGGAATTAGCAAGTGAAGAGGACCAGGCAGAGTATTCTAGAGCTTCAACTCAGACTTTATCCTAAAAGCAATAAAAGAGTTTTAAACAAAAAGTGGCACTATCAGACTTGCATTTTTAGATGGACCATTTTTCAGTGTTATTAGAAACAGATTGGATGGGCAGTACTAGAGCAGAAATATTGGTTGGGATGCTTTAATAGTAATAAATGGTGATGGCCTCATTGGGTTCTTGGCAATGAAGAAAGGGGGAGGTGGATGCATGTGAGTGATTTTTAGAATGCAAAATAACTGACTGGGGGTAGTGAAGGAAACAGAAGAGTTAAGTATGATTCCAAGTTTCTGTGTCAGGCAACTGAGAGGATCCTGGGACCATTCACAGAGACTAGGGACTCAGTGGGAAGAACTATCTGAAGAGAAAAGTACTTGATATACCCTTGAGACCTAACTATATTAAGGCTAAGCATTAAGGACGTGGTTATGTAGCTGAATTTTCTGGGTATAGATACTTTTGAAAAATTGCCTTAAAAATAATCAAAATATTAATATAGTAGTATTGGGACTCTAATTATATTTTGAATATTTCTTTTAAGTTTTGGTTTTCATTATTAGTGTGTTTTATTTTGATGAAAGAAAAATAATAAACTTTAAAAAATTTTATTAGCACATGAATGCTATATTGAAAAAACAAAGGACAAAAACTTAAGACCTTCTTAGGCAAAATGTGGGTTATACCAAGTGAAAATAAATGATTGGTCCTAAATAGAAGCCCATTGTAAATGGGTTCAACATTAGTGTGTGTATTAGTGGGGATGGGTCATCAGGAAATTTCAATTTATCATTCACAGAAGGTCTGCTAGAGGCAGTGACTGTCATTTATTCTCCATGTGTCCTTAGCCCTCAGCACAGTGCCTGGTACCTGGTAACTGGTTCAAGTAAGGGCTGTTATTTTAGATTTGTTACTAACATATTGATTTAGTTTATATTGATTCACTGGAATTGTTATACAGTAATGTTATTTATGTCATCTTGGTTTTTAGGTAGATTGGGGTCAACTGGACTATTTAGTTGTTGATATGCCGCCAGGAACTGGAGATGTGCAGTTATCAGTCTCACAGAATATTCCCATTTCAGGTAAATCTTAAAAGTTTAAAGTAATTTGTGCTTTCTTTCATGTGTGTTACTGCTATACAGAAAAACCTCATGTTAGGCAAACATTTTTGCCTTAAAAAATAACCATTTATAAATTTTTCATTAGAGATTAGAAGCATAAATTGAATTTTTCAAAATATTACCAGAATGATAAGTATATTTACAAAAACATAAAGACACTTTGAAAAGATGATAATATAAATCTGTCTTCTAGAAAGCAGTACTGCGTAAATATTATATAGGTAGAACATGATTGCTTGATTCACTGTTGTGCAGCACTTATAGCACTGGTACATGATAGGCACTCAGTGAATATTTATTGAATGAATACTGAATAATAGTAAATATTAGGAATATTGGCTTTTTAGTAAATACAACTATGGGGCCGGGCGTGGTGGCTCACACCTGTAATCCTAGCACTCTGGGAGGCTGAGGCAGGAGGATCACTCCACGTCAGGAGTTCAAGACCAGCCTGAGCAAGAGCGAGACCCTGTCTCTACTAAAAAAATAGAAAGAAATTAATTGGCCAACTAAAAATATATAGAGAAAATTAGCCGGGCATGGTGACACATGCCTTAGTCCCAGCTACTTGGGACTGAGGCAGAAGGATCGTTTTAGCCCAGGAGTTTAAGGTTACTGTGAGCTAGGCTGACGCCATGGCATTCTAGCCCAGGCAAGAAAGCGACACTCTGTCTCAAAAAAGAAAAAAAAAAGTAAATACAACTATGGGAGAGTTTTATATTCTGCCAATTATTTAATGTTAAAGTCAATAGCAATAAACAAGTTATATGATGTAATATTTCAATATGGTAGTGGACAACGTTTTTATGATATGGAATTGAAATATTAGTATTGTAGTTACCCTTTATATTGAATCTGCTTCTAAAGATTTTCATATATGCCACTGGAGAAATAGTTCAAATCTCTATATTAAAAGGACTTCTGGGAAAATGATAGCATTTTTAAATGTCTTTGCAAGTCAGTTATTTGCTGGTTATCTAAATGATGTCATTGACATTTATTCATCAAAAGGTTTAAAATCTAAGTTTTGGACACGATATACATGTTATTTATAAATATCAGCAGTGCCTCATTAATATGAGTATTTTGATGTTTTAGTATCTTTGTAACTTTAATGGAGTCTGAGATTTTCTTTTTGGGAGGTAGATTGTAAAGTATGAGAAGGCAGTAAAGGGACATATGAAAATAATTCATTGTTTTTGTAATCACTGTATTGTGATTTTTCTTTTTTTGCTTTTCCTTTTTTTAAGTAGTTTTGTGTCTTTTATATTTCTAAATTTTAAGAATACTTACTAAATGTTCATTGAAAAAAATGTGCCCTGGTACCTTGAAATGCCTATTGCAAGCTTAAAAAATGCTCATGTTATTTATATGGATAATACAGTGATAAAATTGGGCTAAACTATCATTTATGCCTTGAGTAGTAGTAACTCGGTACCTTGAAAAAGTTTAATTTATTTCACACAGATAGAATGATGTTCCTAAGTAGTTTTCTTTTGTTTACTTTTGTTTACTCAGGTAACAGCCCCCTTGAACAAGATTGATGGTTAAATTACCCCACATAAATTGGTTTTTATACTCCCATCCAACAAAGTATGTAACTGAACTCAGATTTGGCTGCTCAGCACTTGAAAGCCAACCTCAAGACAACAATTGGGTGGAAGGAAAAGGAGGTTTATTCAAGAGCTGGTAACCTGAGGAGATGGCAGACTAATGTTGCCAAGACCATCTCAAGTTCCTCAGGCTGACCAAGGGTTGGTTTTAAAGGGGAAATGGTCCCATCAGCATGTCTTATTCCAATGATTATCTTGAGTAATGGACCATCTGGTAGTCTGGCTGGCATCAGCCAGACTGCAACACAATTGAAGGTTAACTGTTGCAGCGTTTTCCTCCAAGGGAAAGTCCCACAATTTTGGCTATTGTAAACTATTCTTTGCTAGTTCCTGAAATTCTTAAGCAAGCACATAATTGCCATTGTAAAAGAAATAGTAGTTATGCTTCATGATGAAGTAACTGCTGCTTTTACATGTATATAGATTGGGGTTTGATTTGCTTCCTCTTTCTTTTTTATATCCTAAAATTTAACCTTTATTCATTTCCTTTGATGAAGAGTCTACCCTGTAGTAGGCAACAAATATTACCTGAGCTAAGATACAGTACTTTTGTTGTGGTGGTGGTAAAATATACATAACAGTTTAGTGGCATTAACTACATTCACATTGTTGTACAATCACCACCACTATCTATCTCCAGAACTTTCATCTTTCCAAACTGAAACTCTGTGTCCATTAACCATAACTCCCTCTATTCCTCCACTCTCTTGAGGCCCTGGCAAACACCATTCTACTTTCAGAAACAGTATTTTTTATGCTAAGATTGGAAGACCAAGGAGGAAAATATATTTAAAAGATCACACAAAAATCTTAAGTTGATTTTATGATTTATTAATAAAATTTTATATCAACAAATTTCTATTTTATTCACATACAAGATAGATGCTAAGCATTGCAGTGGTACCCAACCTTTTTGGCACCAGAGACTGGTTTCATGAAAGATAATTTTTTCATGGTTGGGTGAGGGGAGGGGGCAGAGCTCAGGTGGTGATATAAGCGAAGGGAAGCATCTGTAAATACAGATGAAACTTCACTGGCTCATTTGTTGCTCACCCTCTGCTGTGCCATCCTCCTCCTTAGTTTCATGGAAGATGATTTTTGCATGGACAGGACAGGGCGTGTTGGAGCTCTGTGGTCTAGTTCCTAACAGGCAGTCTGCGGCCCTGGGGTTGGGGACTGCAGTGAGGATCCAAGGATAAGTAAATCCCTGTCATTTTCCTAGACTAGAGTTCCTTACCTTTTTTAGCTTTGAAATCTTTTTTTTTTTTTAGAATTTGATAATAACTGTGAATGCACTCCAGGAAAATGTATTTATATATGATATACAGAAACACTAATCCTATGTATACTTTAAGGAAGTTTAGGGTCCTCAGGTTAAAAGCTCCAGTTGTAGGAGGTAGTAAGGTGAGGAGCAGGAAAGAGTGGCATGTAAGAAAACAACATGGATAGCTATAATCCAGAGTAGGGGAAATGCTATGCAAAAGATCTAAACCCCATGATATGGTGGTTCAAAGGAAGAAGAGACTCTGGGTGTGAGAGGGATGCAGAACACTTCATAGTGACGAGCCTAAAAGAACAAATATAAAATGGTGTGGTGTGTGGTGGCTTGGGCCTATAATCTCAGTTACTGGAGACTGATGTGGGAGACACTTGAGACCAGGGGCTGTAAACCAGCATGGACAGCATAGCTAGACTTTGTCTCTTCAAAAAAAAAAGTTAAAAAGAATAAATATGACACAATGTGGAGCATTCATTTCCTTGCTTTTTCTTGGCATTTGGGGAAGAAAGCAAAAAGGGGGAACTACTAGTGTTATATAATTCTAAAGTAGAAACATAACATAATATTTTACTTTCTAAGTCTAATCTATTTTTTTCTAATTAGACCAGTTACTAAAGATCCTTTTGAAAAATACACAAACTTAGTTATTTCTGAACCCTAGAATTAAGATTAGTATTTATTAATATTTTATAAATTTTCTATAATAAATATATATTTTTAATAGTTAAAAATTAATAAAAAGCATTAATTCTTTAAGGATAATAGATCTCTATATGAAATGGTATGATGGTAAATGCCTGTTAATAATAAATTTCCATTTAATGACAATCTCCCATACATTAATTTTCATATTTAATTCTCACAATTCTCATATGTGTTATATTATTCCTATTTTCTTAAATCTCAGAGGAGTTAAATAACTTTCTCAAGATTCCAGTTACTGTAGGTCATAGCTAAGGTTCATATCAGTTCTAACAGAGCTTAAAGCTCATGTTGTTAACCTCTACATCAAGTTGCCCAACATTGTTCAGCTCATTGATTTTTCTGAGTTTAGCCCTAATCCTTTCAAACCCATTTAGGTTGAAATTATTCTAATCTAAGTGATTCCTGATAAAAATAAATTTATCCCTGAATATGTCTAAATCTGTTTACCCTTATATGATGAATATCTAACCAATGGTCTGTATTGGTACTTACTCTATTCAGTAATTTTTTCTTGAGACTACTTTGGACCTCTTTAATTCACACATTCCAGGAAATATCTGGAGACAGTCTACAAGCACTTTTCTTTGTCCTTTAGTAGAGCCCCAAGTGGTTCTTTGAAAGGCCAGTATTATCTTTGGACTAATCCGTACTGGTCTTGAACATTTGGCTAGTTTAAAGGCTCACTGGCTTTCTGAATAGAATTCTAGCAGTCAGTGTTAGTGCATTTATATTGCAGGTTATTATATAAATATTACAACTGATAGCAATGAAAAGACTAGATTTTCTACATTGAATTTGTGTTTATTTTATAATTAGAAAAAATAACAAACAATAAAAATATTGTACCAAAAAGGATGTTGAGGGGGATTTGGGGGACGTGTGATTATGATTATGTCTCTGTGTGTGTGTCTGTGTGTTAAAGAGTGTTTGTTCAAGGCTTGGTTCCTGAGGTTTGATTTTATTCAGGCCAATATCATTTCTTAACTAACATATTTAAACAGATACCAAAATTGAGCCAACTTCCAGGATTTAGAGGTTATGGCACCAGCTAAAGAGTTTTACATAACCTAGAACAGCCTATTGGAATCATGTCTGCTCTTCAAGGCTCAACTAAATTTAAGCCTGTTTTCTAATTATGCCTACTTTTCCTTTCCTTTATTATCATTGACTTTAAAACTCTTTTTTTTCTTTTCTTTCTTTATTTTTTTTTTTTTTTTTTTTTATTTTATTTACATTCAAGTGAGAATTATATAGTTCTTAGACTCTAGAACTCTTTAAAATACTCGGTATTCTATCTTTTCTTATGTCCCATATCCCATGAACAACATAAGTTGTTTAGACTCCCATTGAGCCCTTCTGCCGTG